GGAGCCCAGTGGGTGGCCTTGGGCCCAGGCCGGCTACCGGCATCCTGTGCTGCATCGGTAGGAGTGTGGCCAGTGGATGGAGGGCAGTGATTCTTCCCCTCTATTCAGCACTGGGGAGGCCACATCTGGAGTCCTGTGTCCAGCTGTGGTCCCTACTACAGAAAAGATGTGGACACATGGGAGAGAGTCCAGTGGAGGGCATTGACAATGGTTGGGGGCTGGGACACACGACTGGTGAGGAGAGGCTGAGGGAAATGGGCTCATTTAATCTGCAGAAGGGAAGACGGAGGGGGATTGAATAGCAGCCTTCACCTCCCTCAACTGCCAGGGTCCAACAAATCACAGACAACGAGGATGTGAAGGGATCTCAGGAGATCACATCTAGTCCAAGCCCCAGCTCAGAGCAGCACCAGCCCTACATCATCCCAGCCACGGCAGGTGGTGTCCATTTTTATTTGCATGTTTGATTATTCTAGCTAGCCCCAGAGCATGTGCGCAGGGGCAGTGCTTAATGCGCTTCCCACCTTCCCCCCCCGGGCGACAGCAGCAGGGAGGGAGTGGGATGAGAGGGGCCAAGACAGGGCTGTCGCAGGTGAGGATGAGAAAGCAGAGCAAGGGCCCAAGGAGAACGCGAGCTGGGCATGCAGGACTCCCTGGAGGGTCCCGAGGCCGTGCAGAGCCCACCGAGCCCATCCAGCGCAGGGGCCCTGCTGCACGAGGGCTGGAGGCTGTCTCTCGGGGGTCAGGATACGGCTTGCCTCAGGGCCTTCTTACAAATCCAGCGGCGACGGGCAGTGCAGCTGACGTTGCTCCACGCCGCCGTCTGACTCTCCTTCATCTCAACACAGCTCGCTCGGCCTCTCGGCCCCTGGGTCTTGCTGTCCGGCTGACCTGGGACCCAGAACCTGTGGGGAAACAAGTGTGGTGGATGCGGCAGAGACACAGCTGGCTCCAGCATCTGCTGCCAGCTGGCCGTGGACCAGGGACGTGGCTTCAGAGGGTGACAGAGTGGCTGCCCACTCAGCCCTTGCCCCCGCGGTCCTGCCGTGGCCCAAGCCAGACCCTGCTGGTGTAAATCAGTGTGGAGCCCCTGGGCAAGGGACAGCTCCCCCAATGTGGCTCTGCCCGTGGCTCTTGCCCACCCTGAGCACAGACCCCGTGTTTGGGCTGCTCCCCGGACCTCAGGGGCCTTGGTGGGAGCAGCTCTTTCTCTCGCACGTCTCTGGTGGCCATGAGCACTGGACCCATCAGGATCAGGACCGCTGAGCTGGACTCCTGCAGAGGAGATACAGGCCCAGGGTTGCAGAGCTCGTCACCCAACCAAACCCGGGCCACGATCCTTGCACGCCACTCACTCTCCGCTCTGTGCTTTGCTGTATTTGGTGCCGTCCACCCAGCGCCACGTGCCCGCCGACTTCTGGTCTGTGAGTTCAATCCAGTGTGCTTTCCCCTGGGTCCTCTTGGAGAGATATTCCTGCACAACATCATGCACAGCATGAACACGTCACCCGAAAGAGCCTGCCGGGAGCAGAGGTGCTGGCCTGGCTGCACGGCACGCTAGAGTCACGGAGCTGCAGGGCTGGCAGGAAGCTGTGGGGTCACATCCAGTCCAACCCTGCCCGAGGCAGGATCAGCCCTGTCCAAACCAGCCAAGACAAACCCCGTGTCCGATCTCTGAGCAAGACGACACAGTCACCCCCACCCCTGTCCCCGCGGCCACCAACGTCCTGCTGCTGCCAGTGGGGTTGATATATGCTTGAGACCCCAGAAGAAGAGTCCCACCCCTTGCTATGGTGGAAGGCAACCCCCCACCTCAGTCCACAGCAATCTGACCAGGGGAGAAATTCCTTCCTGACCCCAAAGATGGAGATCAGCGTGATCCTGAGCAAGGGGAATGAGTGGCATGAGAGGCAGGATGTCCAGTGCCCGGCATGGACAACCAGCCAGGAGCAGTGGGCTTGGCCCAACCTCCAAGAAGGTCTAGGACCATTTATCACTAGGCGCCTGCTTGTGATAAAGCACTTCCCTCTCTCAGGACAGAAGGTATTTTGTTCAATGTCTTCATCGACGACCTGGAAGATGGGTTGCAGCGCCCCCTCCGCAAGTCTGCAGGTGACACCAAACTGGGGGCAGTACTGGATACACTGCAGGGTAGGGCTAGGATTCAGAGAGACCTCGACAAATTGGAGGACTGGACCAAAAGAAATCTCATGATGTTCAACAAGTTTCCCCAGTTGTCTTTCCTGCCTAGTTATCTTAAAGTTATTCAATGGTGTATGAAATTTAATGTCTTAAATTTATTTTAAAGCCACAGAATGCCCAATAACACCAATAAACTAAAAAACCAGTGGCTGTTAAAACACCAATGAAGAAAAAACAGTGTTCAGTTGTATTTGTTGTTGTGTTCTTCTGTTTTTGATATGTTTGTGTGTCATAAATAGAACGTAACCAATTATTTAACACACACACACATATAAACTGCACATAATACTGAAAACTGCATAGCATGAACCCTGAATATTTTAACTTAGCCTTGCTTATTGCTTATTTCTTTTTGCTTTGTTAAAATTTATCAGCATATTATTTTGTTTTTGTTACTTTTTTTTTAAACATTTTAAATTGCTCAGGCATCTTAAAGCAAATCATCCCTGAAAATAAAATAATGTAATGAATTTCCACTTCTCTTTAGAAACCAATTGAACTACCTTAAATTATTGGTTACAAAAGATTTCACAAATTAGCTATCTTACTACTACAGCACAAAACCAAAAACAAATGCATACTATAACTATTTTACACCAAGGTTCAAAAATTCTAAAAGTATCTAAGCAAGCTACACAAATGATAACACATCATTGGTATGATATTGTCAAGGAGTGGTCACCATCATAAACAGCGGTCCGAAATGTTCTATTATCATCTCTTCTATACTAACTAAAATAATGCTAATTGTAATGTGTTGTATGTGTTGTTGAATAAAACAAATGTATTTTAAATTAAAATCACACGCCTTAATTGCTTTATAATATATAGCCTTGTGAAAATTATAAAGTGATCCATTCAAAACAAGGATCAAAAAAGAGAATGTTGTGCAAAAGCATAAAAACCAGCTTGATGTTAGGTAAATAACATGGAAATAGACTTTTACCTATTGCTTTTAATCTTATGTATTTTCTTGAGTTTTGCATTGCCTTAAGAAACTCCATTTTGCATTGGTCTGTAGCTTGACATAAGTGCTTGACCTTTTACTGTTTTGTATGCTGTATGGGTAAGAGTGTGTTTGTGGAAAAGGAAAACATCAGCTAGCGACTGGATGAAGAACGCAGACAGATAAAAGATGCCTCCTCACTCCCTGAGCCAATGCGGGGGAGCAGAGCAATGTCCTGGTGCCGGTGGAGCCTCACTGGGGCAGGCAGCGACTCCTCCCCGAGGTGAGGCAAGGCAGCGATGGAGGCTGGGGCGGGGGGCTTGCATGGGCTCCGCCAGCTCCAGGGAAGCGCTCCACTCCCCGGCCCTGATGCGGGGGAGCGGAGCACTTCCCCGGAGCCCGCAGAGCCTGTGCCAGCCCCATGGCCTTGAAAAGGCTGTGCGCGACCACACTTTTAGTTGTGCATGGCCGCACACACGCTATGGCCTTGAAAAGGCTGTGCGCGGCCACACTTTCAGTTGTGCATGGCCGCACACACACGCACCTTAGATGGAACCTTGGGCGAGATGTATCGATTTTGGGTCTTGTTCTGCACGTCATCCTGGAGCATCGATTCGTCTGACGAGATGGACCGGCAGGAGTCTGGCTCCCACTCACGATCAACTTGGCTGGCCACTAGGTTGATCTGAGTACCAATATGGTTGGTAACGTGTACCAGCGCAGAACAGAAATTGGGGTATGAATGTGGTGGGTGTGTGTGTGTATTAAGTGCTTAATCAATAAATGTGGCACTTTGTTTTATCCCCTTCATAAGATCTCACTCGCAGTTTGAACGATTGGCAATTTAACATTGTTACATAACAGTGTAACAGAATCTCCATCCTTGGAGGTGTTTAAGACCCGGGTAGAGAAAGCCTTAGCTTTGATGATGTAGTTGGGGCTGGTCCTGCTTGGAGCAGGGGGTTGCACTAGATGTGACCTGAGCTCCCTTCCAGCCCTCCGTGTCTGTGATTCTACAACAGGCTGGAGCCATGCGTTGTTGAACCCGTGGGGCCTGACAACATGAGGGAAGGCAGGTTTGGGAGGGAAGACTTCTCTTTCCTCAGACCAGCTTCTCCCCCATCCCTCCACACTCTACCGCCTGGTCCTACAAGCTGCATGCCCGGGTCCTGCAGGCAATGTTTCCTGTGCTCCCCTCCCCTTGCCCATCCTCTTCTGTCTCGGGATCTCCTTTCTCCCTGGCCAGGCCTCAGAGCTGGAGGAGATCATGTCAGGCGGGACAGCTGCAGGGTCTCAGCAGTGATAGAGGCTGTGACCTCCCTTCTCACAGCACGCCCTGGGCCCAGAGAGAAGGGTCTCTGGAAGGTGCTGCATGTCCTGCTTCTACCTCTGGCCATGGGTGGCTCTGACACGCTCACCTGCTCCTCCTTCGAGGTGATGGAGCTCAGGTGCGAGTCCTGAGACACACAGAACTGCTCCGCCTCTGCCCAGGACTTCTGGTCTTGGGAAAAGTAGTAGAAATGGCCGCTGTGATACACCCAGCCTGCAGAGCACATGGTCAGAGCAGTCCCTAGGAGCAGAGATCAAGGTCAGGAGCATGAGGTGACGGCACGGTGCCCAGGGACTGCACTCTTTAGGGTGGATGCAACGGGGATAGATTGGAGATATTCAGAGCAGTAAAACACAGCCACCTCTGGGGTGAAGCATGGGAGCTCCCAGCCAGGTAGGGCAGCGTTGCTCTTGCAGAAGAGGAGAGAACCCCTCATGGTGCTGGGGATTCGTGCAGGGGAAAGTCCCCTGCTTCGACATCAGCATTTTTTTAGCACTTTTCCTGTGTTGCACCTGGTTGCTCACGGCCTTGGTGCTGTACAGGCCCTGGCCTCAGTGCGCTCTGTCCGGAGCTGCTTCTGGGGAGGGTCTGAGAGACTGACCCAGCCCTGGGCCGTGGTGTGATACCCACTGTGGGCATGGAGCTGGCAGGCCTGGTGTCCAGTGAAACCCGACCTCTGGCCTCCCACAGCACTGGCTCAGTTCAGCTTCCTCCCTCGAGCACCACTATCTGTTCCTGCTGCACGTGGTGACACCTGGATTTGGTGAGGAGGGATTTGGGGCTGGGGAGTGGATCTGGGAACAGCCCTGGGGGCTGCAGCCTCAGGTGCTGCCAGGCCCCAGCAGGTGCAACCCCAACCCTACCTGCAGCCAGCACTCACCGTGCTCGCATTTCAGCGACTCTTGCAAGGCCATGACATGGTCCAGCTGGGCCTGGGTATCTTGTTTCTCTGCAGTGGCGTTGTCCAGATGGGTCTGGATCCTTTGTTTCTCTGTAATGATGCTGTTCAGACGGGTCTGGATCTTTTGTTTCTCTGCAGTGACGCTGTCCAGACGGGCTTGGGTTTCTTGTTTCTCTGCAGTGACGTTTCCCAGCTGTTCCACTATCAATGAGACTCTTTTCCTGATGTTGCCCAGCAGCTGAGCACCTAGAAACACATCAAATCTCATTGGCATCATAAGCCTCACCTGAGAGGGAAAGGCTTTTCAGACTCCAACCCTTTCGTGAAGCTTCTTTGCAAACCCTTTCCAGCTAGGAATAGTCTCCCTGTGCTACCGGTCTCCCCGTATGGGCAGGGTCAAAGCCACGCAGGACCAAGACTGGAGCATGGGAGGATGGGAGATCACAGAACAGGACGCGGAGCCTGCTGCCGAGACCAAAGCTGGGGACATCGTGGAGCAAGTTCCCACATCATGCCTGTATAGAAAGGACCAGCCTGGCCCAGGGCGGGGCTGTCCAAGGGCTGAGGCCCCTGCCACCTGGGCCACCAAAGCTGTGTGAATGAGAGGCAGCAGAGCTGTAGGAGGCCCAGAAACGAATGGACGGAGCTGGGAGACAGAGGACAAGCCAGCCGGGCCCGGTGAGGAGGGACGTGCGGTCAAGGCCAGGGTGGTCAGCAAGGGCAAAGGGTGGAGGAGGCATCGAAGCTGAGCTGAGCTGCCCCAGCCAGACCGGCGTGGAAGAGGAGTGGGCAGTGAGCTCTGGCAGGGCAGCCAGGAGTCCAGCGGGACCTGGATGGACCCCACAGCCTGGACCACGGAGCAGGAGGGAGGGCCCAGCATGCTTCAGGAGTGTGCCCTTGGGACCAGACTGCCAGCTGCAGCCAAAGAGACAAGCTTTGACCTACTGCTGCCCAGAGGAGAAAGGCCTCCCCGAGCAGCAGGCTCCCCCAAGAAAGGGGCTCAGGGACACGGCCGTGGCAACAGGGGGATCAGAGGCAGAGAAGAGGCCCCGGTGAGTGGGAGACGACCCACAGGCTGCAACTGGGCACAACCCCGCGTGCACCCAGGTGCTCTCGAGGGACCCGGGCACCACTGGAGTCTGGGGAGATGCAAGCACGGTCCTTGTTCCCCATCTCACCCTCCAACTCCACCGTGCTGTTGAGCTGCAGGTGGCTGGCGATTTCCTGCGCGGTTGCTTTGACCTCTCGCAGCTGCCTCCGTCCCTGGACATCTGCAATCACAGGAGCTTGGGGTCAGGGGAGAACGGAGGAGCTTTCTGTCGAGGAGGAAGGATGGGCCCCTCGGTCCCGGAGAGACACTTGCCCTTTACGCCGTGGGGGTTTGCGCTGCCTGTGCTCTGAGCTCCAGGAAACGTGGGCGCAGGAAACTGCAGTGCACCATGGCCACAGAGAAGAACGAGCAGTTCAAACTTCCTGCCCCATGCAGCCCATCCCTGTGGGCAGCACTCCCCACACCCTCTGGCCCCAGGCAGCCGGACCTACAGCTTCACATTATCACAGGATCAGCCCGGCAGAGTCTCCGTGCATGGGTCACCACATAGGACACAGCGAGGCAAAGGCCACGCTGGGGCTTTTTAAACAGAGAAGCAAAACCAGAAACTGGGTACTGGGCTCGGACTTACACAGGGTGGCGAGTGCAGGGAGGGAGATGGCCAGCACCAGGAGGATGGAAGTAAGGAGGATGCCGGAGCAGCTGCCGAATGCAGCATCTCGTGCCTCTGGCCACTCTGGGTCTGGGGAAAGAAGGCCATTTCCATGGGACGCTGCAGCCAGGACCCCTTTCACCCCCCTTGGGTAACAGGGAACGCTGGAGCCGGGCTGAGCAGACGATGGGAAAGTGCTCGCAGCCGTGTCGAGAGCCACAGCCCAGGATGAGGCATCCGAGCCCCTCGGAGATCTCCCTGCCTGGGCTCTGGCAGACGCTTCCCCCAGGGCCAGGCTCTCCCACAATTGCCCCATGCTGGGGTTTTCTCACAACTACCCCTTGGATGTGGCCAGTCTCAGAGGCAGGCCCTGCCTGGAAGGGGCCAGGCTGCTCGGAGTCGGCAGCTCCTCCATTGTGGAGGGCTGAGCTGCTCCAGACCAAGCCAGGACCCACCCAAATCCCCTAAATCTGCATCAGCTCTTGAGCAGGTCAGTTCCTCTCCTAAGCAGACCATGGAGGAGCAGGGAAATGAGGGCAAAGGCTTCGGCTGGCACAGCCCTTACCTGGACCTCCGTGGGAAGGTTGGACAGTATTCAGGTTCCCATAAATGGCTTTCTTCTTGCTGCTGTCTTGCGGGTTCCCCTTTATATTCTCGTAAACAGCCTCCATCTCCATGCTGACCCTTCCTGAGAGCTGCTGTCCAGAGGTGCAGCTCAGCCGGTTCACACCGGGCAGGTGCACAGAGCAAAGCCTCTGATCAGAGGTGTGATTGCACCCTGGGCAGAACAGGAAAGCCGTGAGCCACAGTGCTCGCTGCAGCTGCCTGGGGTGTGCTGAGCCTCGCCGTGCTGCAGAGACCACACTGCACAGCAGCCAAAGCCCGGCTGCCCTTCTCCCTGGGGGCAAGAGCCTGATCCCCTGGGACGCAGGGACCCAAACCTCCGTGTCCCAGGTCCTGTGGGCAGCCACTGGTGCTGCACGGATATGCCTGGGGCAATCAGCCCGGCTCCGCATCCCAGCACCACGGGACACGTCCTCCCTGCGCCTGCCATGGACAGCAGCTCTCACACCCTGGCAGGTCATTCTCGAAGACATTTTCTTCCTCGCGGTGAAGGATAGCTGTCATCCATGGTTGTTTTATAGATGTGTCTGAAGATGGGTGATGAGGCCGATCCAGGAGGGACAGACCCTGCCGCAGCTCGCGCATGTGTTTGCGTGTGGGGTGGGTGGCTCTGGTTCTTGGTTCGAAAGGTCCCAAAAGTGGCTTGAACGGTCCTATGCTGCCCTAACATAAAGAGCTTTTTAAAGGGCTTTTTTATGTCTCTGCTGGGCCTGGAAGCTGAAAGGGAAAGCCCTGCAGCCGTCGTGTCTCCACCGCGCCAAGCCACGGCATCCATCTTGCCTGCCACGGCTTCCCTAAATCCAGGAGCTGGCAGCCACCTGTATGAAGGGCAGCTGCCCCTGCCTTAGAGGGGACAAGATGGTCACCTTGCTGGCCTCAGCACCCTTGACCGCAACGGGAGACAGTGGTCATTTTGCATAAGGGAAAGTTCACAAGGTGGCATCTGTTATGGCCAGAAAGCAGCATGAGCTTGCAAGACGTGCGACTAAATCCTGAGCATTGGCACCATGGACCCTCCCAACGTGCCCGTGGAATAGCGTCATAGACTCACAGACAACGAGGGCTGGGAGGGACCTTAGGGGGTCACATCTAGTCCAACCCCCTGCTCCAAGCAGGACCAGCCCCAACTGCATCATCCCAGACAAAGCTTTGTCTACCCGGGGCTTCAACTCCTCCAAGGTTTTAAAAACCCTCCACCTTCTCATTCTGAACCCATTCCTCCCTGTTTGTAGCAGCATGTGGCGAAGAGCTTTCCTTCTGCTTGGCCTCTCTGCCGCCCGCACCCTAAATATCCCCTCCTGGGACTCGGGGCACTGTCTCAGCATAGCCGTGCTGCCCTCCCAGTGCCTCCTGGTTACTGAAGCCCTCCAGGTCCTGGTCCTCAGGGCAGACCCCCTGAAGCACCATGCCAAGAGCTGGCCCTGTTCCCTCAGCCCGGAGGGTGGGTTGTATTGCCATGCAAGCCTTGATTTGAATCATCCTCTCTCCGACTAAGCAAATGACTCAAGCCAGCAGCCCTGGCTGCAGCGCTGAGCCCAGAGGAAGTCTGCAAACAGCTCGTGGGTGTGTGAGGAGAGGAGATCTGCCATATAAAGGGTCTGGTGTGAACGCGACCCTCACGAGGTGTGAGAGTCGCTTTGCTTTCATCAGCATGGGACGTTTCCTATGGGGGTTGGCGCCGCTTGGGCCACCGTCCTTTGGCCCGGCTGCTCTGTGCTTCTGCAATTATTGGTGTTGTTTCCGATGCCTTTGCAGACATTGCACATCATATGAAGGCAAACACAGCTGCAGTTTTAAGGACCATAAATTCTGTATGGGACCTGAGGTCCTAAGCTGGCCAGGATATTGCTGGAGACCCTGTGCAGGGTCTGGTGTGAATACCACCCCAACTAAGGTGTGAGAGCCACACAACCCAGCCCCTGGTCACAGCTCTGCTGCGAAGGTACCCGCTGGGCCAAGCCCTGGATGCTCTTCTTCCTCTCAGAGATGAAGCTAAGGGTGCTTTTCCTCCCCTACGGACAGCAGAAGGAGCTCCAGTCTCAGGTTTGAAAGCAAAGCCTCTTCACTTTCGAGAGGGAGGCACAGCTCCCTCCACCTCCGAACAGGGAGGCCAGTCTGGGGGGTACTGGGAGAGCTGGGAGCAGCCAGAAGCCCCCGTGTCCCCCATTAGCTCCCTGCAGACCGGGGAGTGGGGCTCTGCCACGGACTCCTTAGACCTCTGCTTCCGGCCATGCCGAGAGTGACTGCGTCTCAGTTGGGGTCATTTCCTGAGGTCTCTCCTCGGCCAGCTCCTTCCCTCCAAGGGCTTTTTGCACTGTTAGCCACATGTAATGTCACCCCCAGGGTTGTGTGTACCAGGTGGGGAAACTGAGGCATGCTGGGGAAGTGGCCTTTCTATAGTAGCCACACCAGGCCCTCTCTGCTTTGACTGCTAGGATGTTTAATCGCTACCCCTGGCTTTCCTGTAGCCCCGGCTGCATCTCTGCACTTGCTGCTGTCTCTCAGCCCCGTAGATCTGTAGCAAGCAGCTCTGGGTGCACGTGGCAGCGCTCCTCCTTCGGCCCTGCAGCCAGCTCTGAGCCCACAACCTGCTATTGATGTGCCATGAAAGAGGTCAGTTCCCAGTCTCAGCTCCGTCCTTGTGCTCCCAGTTGGGGCAGGGCCGGGTGGGAGGAAGTGATTATTGCATCTGCAATGTAATCGCCATGCAATGACCTGGTGAATCGCGCAATAAATGTAGTGTGACTATAGGTGCAAAGGAATCGTCATGCAGTGAACTAGTGAATTGCACAATGAATGTAGACTGGCCACACGTGCAAAGTAATCGTTGCACAATGACCTGTTGAATCGCGCAATGAATGTAGACCAGACACATGTGCAAAGTAATCATTACACAATGACCTGTTGAATCATGCAATGAATGTAGAGCAGCCACAAGTGCAAAGTAATCGTCACACAATGAACTAGTGAGCTGCGCAATGAATGTAGACTGGCCACGTGTGCAAAGTAATCATCACGTATTGAACTGGTGAATCGCGCAATGAATGTAGACTGGCCACACGTGCAAAGCAATAACCGTGCAATGAACTAGTGAACTGCACAATGAATGTAAACCGGCCACACTTGCAAAGTAATGGTCATGGGATAAAAATGGCTGTCCAGCTATAAAATGCACCAACCAGCTACAAAGCTCTTGCTTGAAACTGTTCCCGGTGCTTCCTCTGGTTTCGGTGCCGCATTCATTTGCAAGCAGGGGCCTCACCAGTGGCTGAGCTGGAAGGAGGCCTGTCCGCCGGCTGGGCAGTTGTTGCATTGTGAGATGCTCCCTAAGCCGGGTCTTTCCAGGCCAGCATGGGTGGCCGCCAAGCCCGGCCCCTAGGCCGGGGCCCAGGGAGGGGGGGATTAACCCTTTCTTTGCTCCTCTCCACCCAGCTGCGACTCCTTTCATGCCATGAGTTGGGCAGGTCTCAGCCTGGCCCCAGGGAAGCACCTAAATGCCCACTCCCCAACCCCAGCAGGGGCATGTCTACACACGCAAGGGAATTTGGATGAAGGGAGGGCATGGATTTAAAGTGCAAGAGCTCAGCCCACAAGCAGACACAAGCCGAGGCTCCCTGTGCATCTTACCTTCCGGTCCATCAGCCTGGAGGGCTCCTGGGTGAAAACAGCCTCGTCCTCCACCCCGTGCCGTGCTTCATAGTATTAAGGCCCTGGTTGCAACTGCAGAAGTCCCCTCCTTCTTTGTGGGCTTTAACAAGGCAGCTGGAATTTCCTGCAGCCCCGACACCCGGGGTTAATCACAACCAGCAAGGCACCGGTGGACGTGATCCGGTGCAGACAGAACTGCAGCCGGGGTCCAGCCGCCTGACCGCTGTTTCCTTTCCCAGCACCCAGTCCTTCTCGGCGCCTTTTGAAATCCTGGTCTGGTGTGGGGTGAAAAAGGGGCTGTTGCGTTTCACCCCAGAGGCAGCTGCATTTCAGCAGTGGGGGATGCGATCCTGGCCCTGCAGTTCATATCACGCTTCCATTCATAAAGAACGTCTGAGTAACGCATGGAGGCGAGAGCAGTGGTTCCCAACCCTGAGGGTCTCCTTGGTGGGCTCCAGGCCCCTAGAAGATGCCAGCTCTTCCTTTTGGCTTGTTTTACTCGACAACAGAAAAATGCCGGAGCAATTCCTCTGTGCAAAGAGCTCAGCAGAGCTGCTTGCCCGATTCCTGCTTGCACTCCCTGGGCTTATCCCGTGAATCGTGTTGGCACTGAGCATGGCGGGCATCCCATGGCGCCCTGGAAAGGGTCTCAAGGCTCCCTGGTTGAGACGCACAGAGCTGGAGGCAGCGGAGAAAAGCCTGGGGCCGGGGGGAATCGGGATGCTTTTGCAACAGCGCTGAGAAGCGATTAATAAAAAGAGAGCAGGACCCTCTTTTATGCCCTGCTCAAGGTGATCCTTTGCCTACAAGGGGCAAAAGTGACATGAATGTCCCCAGAAGTGACTTTGGGCAGGACCCCCAAAGCTGCCCAAGAAACCAGAGCCCCCAGATCGCCGGTTTGCCCCTTCCTAGATCTTGCCAGATCTTTGCAGGCCCTAGCAGGGTGTAGCAGGGCCCGTGCTACAGCCGCTCGTGCTGCTCACGCCTGGTGCTTGGCCCTGCCTCGGGCCTGGAGAGCAGCCAGGGAAGGCGAACACGTGCCGCGGCGGGGGGAGCGGGGCAGCTGTGCTCCCTCCCATGCTCTATGATTCGTGGTTTTAAACAGCAACCCGAGCGGGCGTGCGGTGAGCCGGATGGGAGGCTGGCACAGGTCCCCGCCGCGTGACATCGGCACGGCCGCTGGGCCCCATTGCATCCACTCGCGGGGTGATTCACGCTGGCCGGAGTCGAGGCTTCCTGATACATGCGGTGCCCGGGGCCTCCAGCCTCACCGTGCCTGCCTGGGGTGGGGGCGCAAGCATATGGGCAGCCCGGGTGAGCTGGGGCAGAGCAGGATGCTCCTGGGCTGTTTAAACATCAACAGGAGGGAACCGTGTTGGATCTGCCTGCAGTAGGGGCTGGCGTCTCCCTGGGTCTGGCCCGTGCCCCCGAGTCCGTGCTGGTCCAGTACCCAGGTCCAGCCTGGGGTTCCCCTGCTGCTACCTGAGCCCCGTCCCCCTCGGATGCGCCGGAGCGGTCTGGTAACCGTGCCAATGCGCTGCTGGTGCTAGACCCCCTACCACATCCCTCGGCCCGGCATGGGACCTAGTTTGGGGTCTTTTGGGGGGCCTGGTTCTTCTCCTAGGGCCCTTTGGACACGCGTGAGCAGATGCTTTGACACTGGCAGTGCCCGCATCTCCCTGCTCTTGCCCTGTCTGCTTTTGCACCCCATAGTCGGTGTGAGAGTTGGGGGGCGGCGAGTCTATGGGCTTGCAACCGCAGGGGCTCGAGGGGTGGGGGGAAGCTCTTCCCGTCCTGTGCTCTGAGGATGAGCCGCCCTCTCTTCATCATCCCAGCGCCGTGTGGGCTTGGATTGTGCGGTACCCGGGTCGGTGGGTGAAATAGGTCACGTAGCACTTGGCAAGCCCCCAGTGTCGTCGTGTGCGGGGCCATCAGGGTGCTCGGCGCTGCACGTTGATGTCTGGAGGCCACGAGCCCTGTAGGCGGGGGGTTGGGAAGGAGGAACAGCCCCGGGGTAGGTTTGCTCTACGTGCACGGCCTGACCCAGCACTGAGCGGGCTCCCAGGGCTGTGCAGGTAACCGTGAACAGGCCCCTGCCGGGCTCTGTGCCTCAGTTTCCCCTTGTAGCACGGAGCCAATGATTTCATTCCCGTTGCAAATGCCCTGGTGCTCCGGGGGTTAATAACCAGGCCCACCCAGGGGCGCTGATGCTTCTCGGTCCCAATGCATTCTGGGAAAATCCCCCCCCATACTACCACTGCGGTACACAGAGCACCTGGAGGATGCACATACACGGAGCAAAGCACTTTGGGAGACACCACCCCCAAGGGGATGCTGGGAAGAGGCAGGCCTGGTGGTTCCAACGTGGATGGCAGCTGCCCTTTACCTCAGTTTTCCCATCTGTAAATAGGGCACAGCGTTCACCCACCCCACAGAGCTGCTGGGGAGGGGGTCCCGCATTGCAAAGGGTGTTTGGATGGATCCTGCTAGGGAAAGCAAGGTGCGCCCAGGCCGTCCTGCCATGCCACGGCCATGCAGCTGCTTCTGGGCAGAGGATGGGGACACAGCAGAGCTCAGCCCATCGCAAAACAGCCAGCTCCTACATCCGCGCCAGGAGCATGGCGCGGTAAGAGGCCCAGCCCAGGGCTATTTTAAATCCATCTGCCGTGTAAGCCTGCCAAGCCATGAGCTGCAGGGCGAGGCTTTCCCAGGCAGCTGCGTCAGCCTTTCCACAGCAGGCCCGGGCAGGCAGACGGAGGCCTTTGTTTCCGGAGCCGGAGCAACGCGTGACAGGGTGGGACAGGCCCAGGGAGCCGCATGAAACCTCGGCGCCTCCAGCCAAGATCAACAGGAGCTGGGCAGCGCGATGGGAAAGCTCATGCAGGAAGGGGCGGTTTTGCAAGCATCAGCAAAGCAGCCAGGGATTCAGAGCCAGAGAGTGGCTTCTGCCTCAGTTTCCTCCAGTTAGGTACCACGTAGCGGCGTGCACCCCTCCACTCGCCCGGGTGCCACCCCAGTCTGCACTGGCAAGAGGGCCCAAAGCACAGCTTGACTCGCTTGAGGCTCTGCAGGGGTCCGGTGCAAGGTCATAAAGCTGCCATGTGGTGCCCAGGTCCCATCGCGGCTGGAAGGGAGAGTGCCCAGGGCCGAGCAGGGTTTTCCCCGTGTTTCTCTCCCCCCTTGCAGCCGCCAGCATTGAGGGCCGTGCCCCTCGCTCCCTGCCCCAGAGCCCCCGATGCCCCTTTCCCCCCCAGCGCGTGTCCAAGCCCCGGTGAATCCGACTGAGCTCTCAGCGTCCCCCATGTCTGCGGGGGAGGAAGGGGCAGAGTTTTATTTATTTTTTAAAGGAAAATCTTGTATGTGCCAAGCCAAACCCGCCAAATAAATTCCAAATCTGTGAATCATTCAAGAACCTGATATGGCCCTGCTACCGCAAGCATCCTCCGCCCTCACCTGGGGCTTCAGATCCTTTCAAATCTTTTGGCGGGCATCCTACGTGCAGGCCCAAACCCGGAGGCTCGGGGTTTGCATGCTCCTGAGTTTCGCTTGCCCTCAGCTGTACGGTGCAGGAGCACGCTAGGGAGGAGTTTCCCATTTGCATAAAGTCAGTGTGTGGCCAAGATCTTCCCGGCGGAGCTGAAAGTAGGAAACTATCTATGCATGACCTCAGTCCGGGTATTACCCGCTGCCAAGAAAGTGCAAGTAGGAAAACCACCTTAGCGGTCATGCTCTGTCCACGTTTTAATGCCCTGCTGGGGAACAGACCTGCCTGGCATTACTTGCTACCTGCTACTTTCATCCTGCACCCCTTGTTCTTGTCTGGTGAGACAGTAACAAAGCCCTAGAGACTTTCTCTTCCCTGTCTAGTGTGTTGTAAACCCTTCTCCTGTCCCCCCTCACATCTCCTATCTGCGCTGCCCAGGCCTGGCCTCTGCCGTCTCCTCCTTGGGACACCCTCCACCCCCTCCTCATCCGCGCTGCCCTTCTCTGCACAGCCAGAGATGTTTTGCATAAACATGCAAAACTTCTTCATTAAAATGCAAACTCAACAGCAATGAATTGCTCCCAGCCTTGGCTTTGCTTGGGCTGGACAGGTCAGTAAAAAAAAAAAAAAAGTGAGCTGCATGGAGGCAGTGTTGGAGGCCATGGCTTCCACAGCCAACCAGCTGCTCATAGTCAAGACCAAAATCACTGGATCCAGGGAAAGCTGGGTTGGAAGGGACCTCAGGCGATCACATCTGGTTTGGCTCCTGTTCAAGGCAGGATCAGCCCCCACTAAAACATCCCAACCAAGACTCTTGAAAATCATAGGGATGGAGACTGCACCACTTCTAGCACAGGGCAGCTCAGGGAGGTCTCGGGGCACAGCCCTGCAAGCTGGGGCTGTCTAAGGGATCGAGGATGCAGGGTTGGTTTACAAGGAAAAGGAGCAGCTCCATGCTGGATTTCTCCCTACAAATCAATGCACTGACACAGATTGAGTCAGCGGAGGCCACGGCTGTGTATGAAGCTTGGAAAGTGCACGAGGATTCCCACGCCGCCTGCAGACATTAACTCCTGGCACACACGAGCCACCTGGGCTTGGGGCTCTGCCCTGGCTACCGGTTCGGGCAGTGGTTTGTGTGGTTTAATCTCATCTGCCTCAAAGGCAGCAGCCTGGCTCTCCTGCAGACACTGCCAGGATTGTACAATCCTAGACAAGGAGGGGGGGGGGGGAAGGGACCTCAGGAGGTCACATCTAGTCCAGCCCCCTGCTCCAAGCAGGACCAGCCCCAACTACATCATCCCAGACAAGGCTTTGCCCAGCCGGGTCTTGAAAAACCTCCAAGGATGGAGACCATCACCACTCTCACAAGCCATGAGGAAGTTTTTCCTAATACCCAACTGCAACTTCCCTTGCTGCAGCTCAAGCCCATTGCTCCTTGTCCTGTCATCTGCCCCCACTGAGACTAGCCCAGCTCCATCCTCTTTGCAGCCCCCCTGCAGGGAGGTGAAGGCTGCTATTCATTCCCCCTCGGTCTTCTCTTCTGCAGACTCAATCAGCCCAATTCCATCAGCCTCTCCTCACCAGCCATGTCCCACAGCCCCCAACCATTTTCATCACCCTCCGCTGGACTCTCTCCAATGTGTCCACATCCCTTCTGTAGTAAGGGCCCACAGCTGGACACAGGACTCCAGATGTGGCCTCCCCCATGCTGAATAGAGGGAAAGCATCACTGCCCTCAATCTGCTGGCAATGCTCCTGCCAATGCAGCCCAGGATGCCAGTAGCTTTCTTGGCACCAAGGGCACACTGCTGGCTCCTGTTCAGCTTCTTGTCCCCCATCACCCCCAGGTCCTTTTCTGCAGAGGACCAGTCAGCCCCCAGCCTGTCCCAGTGCATGGGATTGCTCCATCCCGAGTGCAGGACTTCACCCCTGTCCTTGTTGAACCTCCTGAGATTTCTTTTCGGTCCAACCCTCCAATTTGCAAGATGGGCATGCCAAGTGCTTGCTTCCCTCTGGCAACACAGTAAAAATACCCAGGCTGGCTGCAAACTCGGGCTGCTGCCCCCCTTCACCAGCTGCTGAGCTGACTGGTATCTCAAGGCCTGGGCAGGTGGTGGCCATCAGGGCAAGTGACACCCAGGCAGATGGGGAAGGCCTGGGCCGAGCATGACATCTGCACTGCATGCTTGCTCTGGGAGTAGCAAACCTAGGGCAGGTGTGTGCTTATCTCTGCCCACAGGTACCTGGAGCACCCAGCTCTAATCAGCATCAAGCCCAGGAAGTCACGGGGCCTCTGGGCAAGCCAAAGAGGCCAGAGCCCCAGCCCCGAGGTCCCTTCCCTTGCTCAGACTCCCCAACATCCACATGCAGGAGGCAGCAGGTTTTGGACCCAGCAGTTTATTGCCTCAGGGGCCATGATCTTTCCTCCCACATCCATTAAAAGCTCAGTTGACCCAAACACACGCAGAACATCCAGACATCCAAACCCCCAGCCCCTGCCCCTGCCCCACGGGCCAAAAGCCTGCTCACGGGTCCCCTGCACTTCCACCCACTCCTATTGCACCCATGGCCAGACTCACCCTTTGGTTATTACACACGCAGATGCACTGCACTGGAAGGCCAGGGCTTCCTCAATACCCACCCCTAACCCCTACCCTTGAGGGACCAGAAATAACCCATCTCTACCTGGCCTCAGACAGACTTAAAAAAATCATTTCAATCAAATATTTAAATATTGAGCAGAGCTGGGCCCTGTGCACCTAGAGAGGTCATGTCCCAAGGAGGGGGGTCAGGATGACCCCAATGCAGTTAACTCTGGATTTATGCCAGTGCAGGCACGAGATGCATCAGGCCCCAGCATTGCCTCTGGTCTCATGCCCTGGGTGCAACTTGGGTTTAAGTGCTTTGTCCCCGGTGGGGTGTTTCTGGCGCTTGGATGGAGGCTCATGCTGCTCCACTCATGCCTTCGGGCCCTTCTCTTCCCCGCCCTGGCGCCCAGCACAGTTAAATTAAGGAGTTGTTCCTTGGGAAGCATCTGCCCAGACCTTCCTGCTTCCCAAAGGGGGTCCCGTGTGCAAGGGGGACCCCAATACCACGGCAAGCAGAGGCCGTATGAAAATGGTTATGCCCCAGGGGGTTAAGCTACTGCTCCAGCCTCTCTGCACCACTTGCGAGCAGCTGGGATAGTCCCACCAAGGCAGACACGAGTCCACACAAGCGCCTAGCTACAGCTGCACAAAGGATCCTAATGCCCCAGTCTGGCTCTGACCCCCAGGCCCTGCCCCCTCCGGACTGGGGGTGCAGGAGGAAGAAGTGGAGCCCAGGCTACAACTTCAGCTTAGTCTCTGCCATGTGGACTGGCTGCTTTGTTACTCTTAAGTCCTTATAAAGGCTCATGTGCACTTTGGAGCAGGCTGGGGCCACGCTGAACCCAACAGCAATGGGCATAACTTGGCTTGAACCCTCCAAAAAACAACTCGGCTCACTTCTAAAACAGGCCTGATGCCAGGGTCCTTGCTCTACTCCAAAATGCAGGCAACTCCCCTCCCCCCTGCCAAGGACATTCATTCATCCTGTCCCAAGCTATGGATCATGGTCATGATTTGCACAAAACGCAGTTTCCAAAAACATCCCAAGACAGCAATCCCTGCCGTGACCGAGGACACAGCCCACGTGCTTACAGCAGGGTCTCGAGGGCAGGGAGCCTGCACAGCACCGGGGTTTCTCCTTCCTGGGTAACAAAGCAGCTCTGCCGGGTGGGGCAAAGACCATCCCAGGCACCAGAGGGTAGATCAGTCGCTGTTTGGAGATGCTCCTGGATGGACGGAGGGTTTCTGGCTCACAGTTCAAAGCACCAACGAGGATCCAGGTGCCGACCGCCGCAGTTTCACAGCATTGAGTGGGGAATCCGGTCTGCGGCGTGGGGCAGGGCAGCATCCACAAGGCTCAATGCCCGCGAAGTCTCCAACAGCACATCAGAGCCACGGGCTCTGGTGGTGGGAGCCGACCCCCAGGCGCTGGGGCGGGTGGCAAGTCTCTCCGTGATGTCTGCCCGGCTGTCTCCTCCCGCATCCCCTGCCCCGGCCCGGTCAGAAGTTGAGGCGGCTGTAGAGCTCCCGCCTGCTCTTCTCCCCGGCCCACGTGCGGCTCTTGAGGCGGAACTTGCGCAGGTCCTCCTTGAAGTCCTCGTGGTGCATGGGGCGGTAGTTCTGGGGTTCACAGTGCGTCTGCAGGGCAGAGGTGGACATGCTAGGGGTTAGAGACATGCGAACACGTGCTTGTGCACTGCTTCGGCCCCACTGAGGCTCCAGCTAGTCAGTGGGGATGCTGTGGTCCCACCATGGGACAGCCTGCCAGCCCCGGCTCCTTTGCTACCACTACCTTCCTGGAAAATAGGAGCGAGTGCTCTGGTTCCAGCCAAACTATAACGCCCGCCCGGGAAACCCACAGCTGAGGTGTGCGAAGTGGCTCATCACTGCTGCACTTCTGGTAATGCCCCCGACAGCCTCCAGCGCCGGGGCAAACGCTGCAGACCAGAGGCACTGAAGGGGTGTGGCCACAAGTCCTGGCTCAGCGGCTTTAGAGCAGGGGTGGCCAATCTGTCAGAGTCCATGCCCGAGATCGTAGCATGGTTCCCCAGCCCATTTTACTACGACAGTCTGTGTCACCCACCCATTTTACTGAGGGGGAAAACAAGAGGCATGAGTAGGGGGTGACTTGACCAAGGTCATTCGGCAAGTCAGCGGCAGAGACATGAATAGATCTCCCCCGCCGCCCAAGCCTCCAGAGTCCCAGCCCCATGCCTTATCCCCTGCACCTCACTTCTTGGGTCAGCTGGCTCACGCCTCTGACACAGACCCGGGATGCTCCAGCCTGGCTGGGAGCAACACCCTCAGGGCTCAGGCTCCGCCGGGGCTCACCTGGTACTGGGGGAAGAACTCACGGTAGCCCCCTTTCAGGATGTACAGCTCAGGGTAGTACAGGCTGGGGTACTCATTGCAAGAGCGGTCTTTTTCCCTGACGAACCGGCACCTTTGGGGCACAGCCGAGAGAGAGTCAGTGACTGGGGTCACTTTGCACCAAGACTTTAATGTTTTAGCCCACGGGAGATCAGAGCCCCTTCCCTCGCCCTGTCCCTACTCGCTGGGTGAGCTCATAACACCCTCCACCCCACACTGCCAGGCCGGGGAATGCGTTCAGCTCTGGGGTGGAGCAGGACAGCAGCACGGCCCACAAGCCATATGCCTTTCCCTTTCAATGTGGTTACCAGCCTGATGCTAGCCTGGACAAGAGCTGTGCCTGGGTGCAAGGAAGGGAGACCCTGGGAGCAGGGTGCCTCGAGCTGGAATAGCCCGAGGGGGATCTGCTATAGGAAGAGGATGCGCAAGGCAGAGCGGAGGCTCAGGGTAGCAACTAATCCTCCTTAAGCCACTTCCAATGGACACCCGCGTAGGTCTGTTATAGAAATCAGCCTGCCAGGGTGGAACTGCTCAGGGAAGGCCACGTGTCTCCCTGTGCTCTAGTCCCTGGCACTTGGGTGGGAGTCAGGCCCGGGATCAAAAACTGTGAGGGGCACAGTTAACTTGGGTCCTTAAAGCCCACCCACCTGGCCCCAGCCTCCCGCCCCCCCCCGGCCAGGTCGGGATGCAGAGGAGGAGGCCACATGCCGGTCACTCACATTCGGGGCCCCCTCTCAGAGGAGAATTCACAGTGGAAGATCACGATCACCCTCTTGGAGGCGTCGAACGGCATGATGGGCGTCTTGAGCAAGAAGTCCTCCACGTCCTGCTCCAGCGGCAGGTGCACGGCCCCCTGCCAAGAGAAGGGAGGTGCTCTGCATCTCAGAGAGCAGGGGCTGCAGAAGAAGTCTCCAAACTGAGTGAGCCCTGTGTGGACTATGCCGTGTTATGGTACTGAGTGCCGACTCCTGTCTAGGATATTCCCAGGAGGCGAGCGAGCCCAACACACGAAGGCAGAGACTGAGCCAAGCAAGAGTCCCCTTGCAAAGGAGGGAAGCAGCTTATATTCTGGTGCCTATGTTTCACACGAGAGCATTTGGTCACTAGTTGCTTCGCTCTCCAGCATCCCACCCCCCCACCCAGTTTAAAGGCACTAAACACTGGTCTTTTCCACATCACCCGCTCCAAGCAGCTTTGGCTGCTTCTTTGGGAGGTACTGTCCCCACCTTGATGTGGCCTCCCTCGTACTCGTACGGGTATCTGCAGTCCACGATCACGCAGCTGTCGATGAGGCTGTTGAACTGGCCATTGAGGACTGCCACCATCTGCCAGGGAGAAGGACAGCTCTGTCACCCCCATGCCTCTCCCCTGGCTCTGCTGCCACACGGCTGGAGACCATCGCAGCCCATGGCTGCAGCTTGGATGGAGCCCCTGGCGTCTGGGCAGCCCTTACCATTTCTGGGGAGATGTACTTCAGGTCCTGGTGTTTCCCTTCCACCGTCTGCAGGAGGTAAGCCTGCAAAAATGGACACCATAAGAGGAGCTTCCCTTGCATCTCAGGTGCTTCCTTCTTTCCCAGGACCAAACATACTGAGCTAGCAAGCCGCTGCTGATCTCCTACACCCCTCCTGTTGGTCCACTTTAGTCACCTCTCTCCCCAGGGGGCTCAGGCAGTGGCTAGAAGCTGCAGCACTTGCAACACAAACCCATGATATTTCCAAGGCTACCGCAACACGCAGGGCTTTCACTTAGCCAGCAGCAGCCTCCCCTTAAATACAGCGCCACACGCTTCTTCTTTCTGCCGCTACCTTTGAGAAGTCCCCGATGAGCTCCCGGTGATCGCTGTCCAGGACCTCTTCAATCTCGTTGTGACAGAGAGACTTGGAGCGCAGCAGCCGGGATTTCTGGAAGGAAGCGAGAGCAGACGGTGAGCTAGGACAGGTGCCAGTCCCGAGCACTTCTAGGCTTGCTGCAGCCAGCAGCCTCCCCTGGCTTGGAAAGAACAGGGCCGAGGAAGGGACTCTATCAGCACCGAGGACACAGGATTGCAGGCTCCTGCCCACTGTCGTGGCTGCATGTTCCAGGAAGCCAGGTTCAATTTGATCTCTACCCTGCTTTGTCTGGTGCAGATGCTGGAGTTTCAAGTGGTGAGAAACCCGAAACCCGCTGTGTTCACCGAGTCAAGAGACCGACACCAATGGGGCTGGCCCCTCTGCCCCCGGGCTCTGAGCCACCCAGCATCGATGCCGTGTGCCCGAGGCACGTGCCAGCGCCTGGACGAGGGGGAATCCAACCCGTGCCTCCCCTCCAAGGCAGCCACCGTGTCACTCACCGGCTCCTCCTCGACGGCGGTGGCTGCCACACTCTTCCGCCGCTTGGTCTTAACCGGCGTGTCCTTGTCTTGCGGCCGCTCCAGCCGCTTCAGGATGGGCCTGATCACGCTGCTGGGCATGGAGGGAGACCGGAAGAGCTGGCGGCATTTGCTGGGCTTTGCCAACCCCTGTTGGGATGAAGGCGAGACCTCATTTGCCACGGCCCTGGGTGCAGCACCCAATCTGTGCACTCCAGACCCCTGGAGACAGCAATAAAGCCAGGAGCAGGATCACAACCCCTGCACCCCCTAGCCCCCCAGGCTGGCAGGGACCACCCTGGTGCTATCATCCTGCACCAGCCAGGGGAGAAGACATGCCAAGCATCCCACCACCCCAGCAACTGGCATCGCCAGCCAGGAATGAGTTAGGTCACAGCAGAGAGGCTTCTGCGGGAAGGGAGATCCAGGGGCTCCCACGTACCAGATCGGCTTCTTCCTTTTTCACCAGCGGGGCCATCAGCAGGTTCTTCATCCCCGCAGGGACGCTGGTTTCGCTCTGAGGAAGAAGCGACAAGGCCAGGGTGACTCAGACGGGAGGGGAGTCCTGCCAGCACCCAAAACCCCTTGAGGCTGCAAGATACAGTGACAGCTTAGCCCCAGCCTGGTTTCTCTCCCAGCTCAAGCCACTTCTGATCTCCACTGGAGACTTTCCAATGTAAATCAGGTCCTGCTTGATGTGCAGGCTGAGAAGGAGAGCCAGGACCCCAAGCAGGTGCTACCTAGCGCACAAGAATCCCTGCCCTTGCAAGCAGCAGTCCTCTTCATACAGCAAATAGCATCCGGGCTTCTCCCACCCCCAGCCAGAGCGTAATGGTCCACCCAGGACAGGATTGCACTTGGGATGGAATAATTGCATGAGCAAATGCAGCCTGGGGAATGGCTGGTGGGGCTGCAGCACTGCAGAAAAGGACCACAGGCGGAATAGGAGCTAGCCATGTGTTCTGGGTGCAAACACAGCCAGCAGCCTCCTGGGCTGTATGAACAGGACTCTCACTTGGAGCAGGGGAATCGCTTCCCTTGATGTGCATCAGCCCTGGGGAGACTTCCCCTGAAAACTGCATCCAAGTCTGGGCCCCCCACTGTCAGAAGGACGTGGATAGGTTGGAAAGAGCCTAGCACAGAGCAATAAGAGTGACCAGGGGCCTGGGAAGCAAGACTAATGAGCAGAGGGTGGAAGAGGTTGGTGGGGATTGAATCTGGACTTGATGATTAAATCTCTCCTCCCTGCAGGGAAATGGCAGAGAGGCTGGGGATGGGCTTTTCTCTGTGGCTGGAGGGGACAGGACTAGGAGCAATGGCCTCATTGCAGGGGAAACTGAGGCTGGCAATGAGGAGGAATACTGACTCCAAGCAGAGTTAAGCACTGAAAAAGGCCCCTAGGGATGTGGTGCAGTCTCCATCCCTCGCAGTTTCCAAGAGCAGGTTGCGCAGATGTGGCTGGGATGGTGCAGCGAGGGCTGGCCCTGCCTTGAGCAAGGGCTGGACTAGATGTGCCCTGGAGAGGTCCCTTCTTGCCGGACTTTCCTATAACTCAGGGAAGACAGGGCTGCATGCATCTGCCTTACCCTAGCAGGGTGGTTCCTGATAGCAGCGGGCCAGAGCCCTTCATACCTACATAGAGCTACCACCCTCCTAAGAGCAGCGAGAAGAAAGCCAGCCTGTCCCCACCCCACCAAGCCTGAGGCAGACCCCAGGGCAGGACAGGGCTGCCCCTCTACCTTCATCTCCTCGTCATCCAGGATCTCCATGAAGCCATCGTCCTCTTCGTCGCTCATGGAGGAGGTCAGGGAGGAGCGGCGCAGACACACAGGGCTCTCAGCCTCCATCGCCACATTTTCCTTCTCGGGGCTGCCGTACTGGGAAGGGATGGAGGCCAGGTTACCGTGTGCTTGGGGGCTGTGGGTCTGACACGAGAGCCCCTACGAGGCTGGGCTCCAATCAGGCCACCTCAAACTGGATGGCGGCAGAGCAGGGATATGCAGAGACAAGGCACGATCCAAGCTCGTGGTCCTTGCAGCTGGCAGGAGCACGAGGCCCAGGCTCCCAGAGTAGCACAGGGCAGGGTCTAGCCTGGCATCCTCGTTGCTGCCCATCTCAGACAACGGCAGTCTGCTCCTGCCCCCACAAGCTTCATAGTAGTTTCAAGTTGCTGCCTCTCCACCTGCATCCAGTTTCCCCCAGTAAGGAGAGTGCAATGGAAGAGACTGGGACTTCTGCATGTGCTCTGCATGCCTGGGGCGTGGACCTGGAGGGGGTCACATGCACTGGCACAGCCGGCAGCGCCCTTTCTCCCACCAACCATTTCCTGCAAGACTTCAGGTCCCTTCCAGCCCTCCAACAGGACCAGCCATGCGCTCACACCCCACCAGGCACCCCCCATCTCTCACCATGAGGTCCGGGGCGGAGTTGGGTCTCTGTGCAAAGGGGTCCCTGCTGCCAGCCCCATCGGAGGTGTGCAGCCGGCTACGGGGCGTGGGCTTCAGTGGGATTTTGAACACGCCCTCCTGGGAAGAGAAGAGGCCTGCATGTTAGATCCCTCTAGGCCAGCTCCCCCTGCCATGCTGTCCAGTGCAGCAGAGCTGCTGCAGACCCCGGTGCATGCATGTGGCCACCCCTGCCAGCCAGACTCCAAGGGCCAGATCCTACCCCACTATAAACACACGCCCAACAGCTATTTTCTGCAGTCCTTGCAAAATCCAAGCGGCGCTGCCTGACAGCAGAGACCACCCCATACAATGGCAAGACTCATGTATTTATTCATACATCATATGCACCTTGTCTGGAGAAAGCATGGTGCGAGAAACAGATGCATCTCCTTCCGATTGAAAAGAGAAGGGATTCAATGCACCAGTTTATATTTGGGGGAGGGGGCATCTAGACATGGAAATGGGCCCTCCAAGACAACCTCAATGGGAGCAGCTCCCCCATCCCGACTTACGTTCTCCTTGTTCTCCATCAGGGCGCGGCGATCTCTGGCTGTCGGGGGGCTGGACACGCTCTTCAGGGCAGGGCTGGTGCCCAGGAGCTTCAGCTGGGAGACAGGAGGTAGGGATGAGGGGACCTGCAAGCCCGTAGCTGCGCGGCTCCTTGCATGCGAGAGCGACAGAAGTCCTCCCTCTCCAGCTACCAGCCACTGCTTCCACCCATGGGGGCTGGGGGGAGTTCATCCTCCTACCCTGCCCATCCTCATGCCCATTCAAGCCCCTCAGGGCAGCCTCTTGCCAAGGACAGCTAAAAGGTGGCGAGTACATTGCAGCTTCCACCAGCTCCCGAGCCTCAAACTTGGTGCCCCAGATCCCAAACTTGGCTGGAGAGCTGGAGCCCCTGCAACAGCATCAGCCCAGTCAGACCCGCGGGGAGAAGGGGACTCACCGGCAGGGAGTGGATTCTCCGCATGGGGAATTTGCTGCAGAGAGGAAGAGAAGAGGAGTCAGCGATCCAGCCCCATGAGATGCACCCCACCTCCCTTCCCAAGGTGCTGCACACACCCCTGACCAGCACCGGCCACACCAGGAAACCCCATGAGCAGGGAAGCCTGCACGTGCTCCTCATGAGATGCTCTTTAGAGGTACAGGGGTCACATGCATGGCTTGTTCCCCTTTCAGGAGCCCTCAGTGCCCATCGAGGGGGGCCTGGTGCATGGGAGAAGAGGCCCAGAGCCAGCCTAGGCTTCCTGCTTGAGGCGGCCACCTCCCTCCACCGAGAGCCCAGGACATGGCAAATTGCCCATAGCATCCAGGGTGCAGGATGCAGCCCCGCAGGGAAGGATTTATGGGGTTTGCAGTGTCCCCAGTGCATGGGGGCCCCCTCCTCAGAAAGGTGCAATTCAACCCTACTGACCCAAGCCAGAGCCAGGGGAAGGGAACTGAGTCAGGGCTTGCAAGGCAGGGGTAGGGGACAGAGACATGCCTGGGCACTTACTCTTTGATGACTTTCCCAGACTCCTGAATGGCCTTCTCAAAGCTGCAGGGGAGAGAAGGAGGACACGTGAGGACGCTGGTCTCAGGGCAGGGAAGCTCAGAGCCAGCTGGCACAGCAGGGCTGTGGCAGGCAGAGATGGGTGCAGGGAAGGTGCCAGGATCCTGGCTTGTTAGGGGTCGGGGCCAGCACAGTACCACAGAAGGGACCAGCATCTCCAACCATTCACAATGAACCCAGGGGACTCGTGTCCCTACATCTCACCCCCTGCCCCAGCCCACTTGGGGCAATAGGGTTACAGCAAGGTCTGGGACACCTGGGTTCTCCCTGCAATTTGCGGGTCTGGACAGGAGACAGCAAAGTGCCGGGCGCCCCGATCAGAGGCCCCGGGAGCTGCTCCGTGCCTGGGAGCTCCAGTTTAAGATCTGAGGCTGCTTTTGCAATGCATGTCAGCCACCTCCAAGCCTCAGGTCCCCCGGGGCTGAGCAGCCGAAAGGGGACGGGGCATCTATGGGGCCGGACCACACCTGGCGAGCGCTGGGTTTCACCAAAGACCCAGGTGCCCCCCTCCAGGAGAAGCCGGCAGCTCAGCCGTTGCTACCGCTGACCTAGTTGCGAGGCAATTACAGCCGGGCTTGGCTGAGCAGAGCCAGACAAAGCTCCCCCAGGAGGGGAAGCCGAGGCTGGGGCCTCTTGCAAGCTGGCTCCGGATGGCTGGGGCATTGCTACGGCAACGGGCTGCTTTCCACCTGTATGCAAATCAGCAGCGCTTCGGGGAGAGGCTGCGGGCGCCCCGGGCACCATATGTCAGACGAAGGCTTGGGGCAACCGGGGGGAGGATCGGAGCCGGCACACAAAGGAGGAGAGGGGAAGCACGCCGGGGAGGGCACTTCCATGCAGCACGTGTGCGGCTGGGGCCCACAAAGACGCCAGATGGGACGGGGGGAGGGAGTGCAGGAATCCAGACCGGCCCCGCGGCTCCAAAGAGCATCTGTCAGGGGGGCGGGAGACCTTTTGCAAGCCCTCCGGGCAGGTGCTGGATTGCAACAGGGAGGGAGGGGGGAGCTGCATGCCACAGCCATCTCAAAGGTCCTCCTAGCCCTAGAGCTTCCCCAGGCAGGAGCTGCAGGGCCCCAAGCCCCTTGTTCTGGCTGGAGGGAGAAGATGGAGACCCTCCCCCCTTCCCCACCATGGGTCCTCGCTGCCTTCCCAACCCAGGCCAAGCAGGAGGTGGGCACCAGGCAGACATGACCTCCACACCAAACAGGACCCTACTGCCATCAGAGCCGCGCCAGGGCTCACACCAGCGAGAGGAAGCGCACAAAGCCACCGACTTCCTGTTTACTGTCCCTGCTAAGTTATTTCGAGCTGGAGCTGTGCAAAGCACAAACTCAGTTAGACCCACGAGCACGGGCCTGGTTTCCCGGCACGTCCCCCTGCAACGGGGGACAGGAGCCACTGAGCCTTTCCTCCGGCCTGGCTGAGAAACGCACCAGGCAGCCAGGCCCGAGGGCCTTCCAGGTCCGTGCTCCAGGCAGACACACCCCACGCTGCTGCCCAGACTCATCCAAAAGCATCACGAAGGACCCTGATGGGGGGGGGCAGGCTCTGGTGAGGTGCCAGCTGTGCAGAGGAGATGTCCTCATGCAAACAAGCTGCAGCCCATAATCCTTCCACCTTGAACGAAATGCAGCCACCTCTGGGGTGGAACGTGGAGCAGGCCTGATGGTCTGGGCCAGGCAGTTTGAGACAGGAAACTGGGTGGGGGGCATGAAGGAGATAAGGAGCATTCATTCCCCATGGGGTCTCTCCAAAGAGGGGATGGTTACTTACACGTCTTCGAGGGCATCGGGGTCCTCTTGTGTTGGGGAATCCAGCCCGACACCTGCACAGAGCAGACATGGGCAGGTGAGGCAGGGCAGCAGAGCCATCTCCCCCGGCCTCTCGGGGAAGCGGGAGAGGCTTGGCAGGCCGGCAGGCTGGCCGGGAGTCAAGCAGGGGGTGGGGAGGGTGCACGGAGAGAACATCGCAGCACGAAGCGCACACGAAGACAGCCGGCCCCTTCCAGCCTCCCAGCACCGTCCCACAGGCTTCGCTGCGGTTGGGGGCACGGGTGGGAAAGCAGCTGAGCAGCGGCAGAGAGAACCCAGGCGTCCAGCTGCCCCGGTCCCATGGCTCCAGCCACTAGACAATGCTCCCTTTAAGTTGGGAGGGGAACCCAGAAGTCCTAAAGCTTTCTTAAAGGGAAAGGGGGCCCAGACCGGCACCTTGTGCCCCTCGCATGGCACTGAACCTGGCACCAAGGTCCTAGCCAGCTGGGTGCTAGATATGGGGGGGGCTAGAAGACCCCCGGACCAGCCTGCACTCCCAGGGACCGTCCGCCACGCTGTCCCCACCGCAGCCCGGCACCCACCTGCATCCGAAGCCTCCGAGGACACCGAGTCCTGCGACGCGCTCTTGAGGATCATTCCCAGACGCTTTCGCTTGGGGGTGTCGCAGTTACTGGAAGGGGGAGAGGGGGCGGTTAGAGAAGAAGGGCAGCAGGCAAGGTGACCCTCCAGTGCAGCCGGGCTCAGGACTCCTGGGTTCCTCTCGCCCCCAGCCAAGGGCAAGACTCAGCAGGGATATACATGTGGTTGGATACAAAGGAGGTCACCTGCCCCCCTAAGCACCCCCAAGCTGAACCCAGGAAGATTTAAGGCCCCTAAAGGGTCAGGGACACCCCCCCGCCTGCTCCAGGCCCCTCCACCCATCCTGCCTTCCTGGGAGGAGAGAGGGGCTTTAGCACGGGTGTCTGCTGTGTACCCAAGGCTTTGCGAGCGGAGGGTTTGAACGGGCTTCTTAGCTGCGGGCTGGAGATAACGGGACTTGCACTTTTCCTCCATAGATCCAAGGGTTTTAGCACGGCAGGGAAGGAGCATTATCGCCGCGGGCAGATAGCAGGCGTGGGGGCGGCGCGGGAAGAGAGGCAGGCTCAAGGTCACAGCGGGAGTCGGTGTCAGAGCCCAGAGGGTGCAGGAGGGCGAGGCCTGGCACAAGCTGCTTCATTGCAAGCCCTGCCGGCCCTCCCGAGCCTGGAGGTTGGGCTGCGGAGAGGCCCGGGGCCTGAGCAGCTGGGACGAGAGCCATGGGGGGCAGCTGCCCTAGACCCTCCATCACAGGGGGGCAGAGACCCCAAGAGCAACCCTCTTCCCTCCCCTGAAAATGCCACCCCCCCGGCCCCAAAGCATGGGCATGAGGCAGAGCAGGGCAGCCCCAGCCCCCGCCGGGAGCTCAGCCCCAATCAACCCCACTGGGACAGAGGGAGCTCAGGACAGGCGTTGATCCCGGGGACCGGGGCCGGTGGAGACGCTCCTGGGAGCAACCAGAGCAAATCTGGCCCACGAGGCCTTGAAAATTCCCATGGATCTGCACCCCCCCCCCCCGGGCCAAGCTTCCCCCGGCTTCAGGATTTGAACTTGGGCTTCTCCGCAGGGGCCAGGAGGGGATACAGCCCCCCAAAAGAGGCAGCTGTCTCCCCAGTCACTGCAGGGCTGAGCCCCCCAGAGCTGGGCGATGCACAGGGGGGTGGCATGGGCCCGGAGCAAGGGCAGCACAGGGACCCCCCCCCAGGCTGGGCCCAGCCTGCTCCATGTGCCTCCTTTGCTGCAACCCCATTCCTGCAGCGCAATGAAGGGCGAGGGGGGAGGACAAGCGGCTCCGCGTGGCTCCTGTCTCCCCAGTCACTGCAGGGCTGAGCCCCCCAGAGCTGGGCGATGCACAGGGGGGTGGCATGGGCCCGGAGCAAGGGCAGCACAGGGACCCCCCCCCAGGCTGGGCCCAGCCTGCTCCATGTGCCTCCTTTGCTGCAACCCCATTCCTGCAGCGCAATGAAGGGCGAGGGGGGAGGACAAGCGGCTCCGCGTGGCTCCCAACCCCCCACAGGCCCTGGGGGGGCCTATTTTGCAATGCAATGGCAATGAAGTCCCCAGGGGACTGGGGGGGGGGGGGGTGCAGAAAGAAGTGGAATGCATAC